TTGGTTCTCTCTTTCGTAATAGCATAAGAAATTCCTTCCATATGAGACTACTGCCAATTTCACCAAAACTAATGGCCATTTCTCTTAATAAACCTAACTAAAATAACGATTTAACTAAGTAAAAGGCTTTCGCAGCATTCAATAAACTGAATGGATCAAAATAGTGTTACTAAATATACGCTAAACCACCAGGTCAAAATTTATTATGAACGTTGCATGGTCCTTGGCGACTACTGTATACTTTTCCTTAGACAGAATGTATACATCATGTCACTTCGAATTTAGAAACCTTTTAAAGCCGACAGCTGCCCTTTTTTCACCTAGAAAATTTGAAGAAGGCGTAATTTGCTACCAAATGAGTACAAGAAAGAATATGTTTGTACATGTTTTATATAAAATATATCTGGAGCATTAAAAGTCAATTTTAAGAAATGCACACTGCCTACGTAGCCATTTTAGAACAATTTTTTACTTGTAGTCAGAATGAACTTCGTCGAAAAGCCGGCATTCTAACGTGACTGTAATATCTTGAGATAGGGCTGTATCATCAGCATTACGATTCCACTTAAGTAATTTGTTAGATTCGAAAACACTTTCCGGAATTTCGATTGACGTTTCATGGGATAGGGAATCTACTGGATTTCCTTCTTTCATTTGTTACTTATGGTATATTTAAAAGAAAGAAATTTCGCCGGTTTTTGCGTTTGATTGTGAACATATATTTATACTATCTGTTCTGTATAGCATGCCGAAATTGACTCTTTCGGTCTCAGTGTAGTTTTATACTCTCTAAGTTGATTATGTGATAAACAACGCAATGAGAGTACTTGAGTGCGGGTTAATGTCACGACTTTCGGCATTGAAGACCTCGTTTTGCTTAGCTCATTACGACCATTGTGATTGTTCTGTCAAAGCATCTGTTAGACCGCAGAATCTTTGGTATTTTGACATTTTACGTGCTTGAACTTTTAATCTAAGACTCTTTAATAAGTGTTGGTAGGTAGGTAATCCTTGTATTCCCGATAGAAGTAGAAGATTGGGTCCCTGATGACGCTCCAAAAGGAAAGAAGTGTTAATTGGGAGGGATGTGTATATGTTTCATTTTAGAAATACACTTGTTCCATTCTATGCCTGCATAGTCCATCAAAGAACACCAATGCGGTGATATAGCCACTGCCTGGTAATATGTTCCTTTAGAAGTAGTATATCGCCTGATGGGCTGATTTGCTGCGGTTATACTTTCTGCAGTGTCGCTTTCATGCTAGAATGGACTTGCTTTCACCCTCCTCAGACTGACTACATCACCCTTGTGGAGAGAGGCGCGTGTAGACCCGAGGCTGGCCTTCGTTAGGGCTCTAATCACAACCAGACT